TGCTTATAATTATTTTTACATATCAAGTGCAACTAAAGTAAAAGAATTATGCTTATTCTAGGGTAGGTATTAGACTTGTCTATTCGGTTTCAAACGCATCATGTTTTTGATATGGACATACCATGAACCAAACAAATTGGGCAATGGAAAAGCTGTTTTGTTTTTTTGTGGTTCAGAGTTCCATCCATAGTGCCAGAAAAAGGGGGAGTGAATGGGGTAGAAATTGACTTTGGGTGGGGGTCGGGATAAATAAGCAGCTTAGTTTGCCATGATGTACAAGAGTTCTGCCCAATGGTGTTGGCTGTATCTTCTGTTCAATCAAGAGACGGAACCAAATGATGCAAAAATTGAGAACATTTTGACTTGTCCAAAGTCTTTCCCAAAACAATTGCGTGGGCGAAATTCATCCAAATTGAAACTCCACATAGAAACTTGGTTCATCCAAACCAAAGAAGTTTTTTTTTTGTTATTGTTGTGCATAAGTCTAATACATACATTATGTTCTTCCTTCCTCATGCATACTTACATTTACTCTTCTCCAACATGGCTAGACATGCTCTAGTTTTTCTACAGATGTCTGTGTGGGTTGATTGAAGCTGAGGGCATGGATCTAGCAAGATAAGGTATTAGCTTAGAACACCCACGAAGGTGTTTTGTAGGAGATTTAGGGACTAGTAGGAAGGGCATTTAGTACCTATGAGATTTATTTTCTCTGCATGGATGTTTTCCCCTCCCTTCACCTACCATACTATCTGTAAGAGGTTTTCATTATACATCGTTAGAGGAAAAGACACTTAAGTTTCCTATGTTTATTTAGTATGGGTGATTACCGCACTCATTCTACTTGAACTGATATTACTACCCATGGTAACTTTATTTATCTATATCTCCTAGATTCAGGCTATAGCTGCCTGGCCTTCTTGTTTCCTGTACTTACAGTTGCTCTATGATATAGCTGCCTAACTCCCTGTTTAGCAAACTTTCTTCCATTAATTTATCCTGTCATTTGATCTCAGTAGCAATTACAAGGGCCTATTTCAGTTACTTTATATCTTGCTGTTTTCCAAGACCAACAGACAAGGATGGGATATTGTGTTGCTATATACACTACAACAAGCATATCAAACTCAAAGTGTGGCACGGGCCACATAAACAAGGTTTAAGTTTATGTGGGACACACACTCACTCACTGACAGACACATACTCACTGACAGACAGACAGACACACACACACAGACATACTCACAGACAGACACACATACAGACACACACTGACAGACACACACATACTCACTGACAGACACACATACAGACAGACACACACACATACACAGACACACACATACTCACAGACAGACACATACAGACAGACACATACTCACTGAGAGACACACATACTCACTGTCAGACACACACACACACACAGATACTCACTGACAGACACACACATACTCGCTGACAGACACTCAGACAGACAGACACACACTCACTGACAGACACACACATACTCGCTGACAGACACACATACAGACACACACACTCACTGACTGACACACACACACACTCACTGACTGACACACACACTCACTGACTGACTGACACACACACATACTTGCTGACAGAAACACACTCACACACTTTCACACACATACTTGTATTTATTGCTCCTTACCCTTTGGAGCATCACCCTGGGGTCCTTTCTGCTCCTCACTGCTCCAGTTTAGTGATGCCGGGTGCTGGAATATGCCATCATTGGAACACTGAGCTCCCTCGCTGCCACCAGAGACCTCTCCTCCCCGGCCGGGTAAATGATAGCAGAGTAGGCACCTGCAATGTGTGGAAAGCAGGTGCCTACTCTGCTTGGAACATTAGGCATGTACTTGTGGCTCATCGGACCGCAAAGTTGGCCCTTGTGGGCCGCGAGTTTGACATGCTTGCCTTACATTGAAAAATTATATCCTTGAATATTCTGTTTTTGCAAGTATGCATCTAGTTGCTGTTTGAACATCTGTATGGACACTGATAAAACCACTTCTTCAGGCAGAGAATTCCACATCCTTATTGTTCTTACTGTAAAAAAGCCTTTCCTTTGCCTTAGACGAAATCTTCTTTCTTCCAGTCTAAACGCATGACCTAGTGTCCTATGTAAAGTCCGGTTTGTGAATAGATTTCCACACAATGGTTTGTATTGGCCCCGAATATATTTGTATAATTTTATCATATCCCCTCTCAGGCCAAGTTTTTCTAAACTAAATAGGTTTAAATTTGGTAACCTTTCTTCATAGCTGATATATTCCATTCCTTTTATTAATTTTGTAACCCGCCTCTGCACTTTTTCTAGTGCCGTAATATCCTTCTTTAGAACATGTGCCCAAAATTGCACAGCATATTCAATAAGTGGTCTTACCAATGATTTATAAAGAGGCAAAATGATATTCTCATCCCGAGAATGAATGCCCTTTTTCATACATGACAATACCTTACTGGCCTTAGCCACTGCTGATTGACATTGCACATTGTTGCATAGTTTGTTGTCTATAACAATTCCCAAGTCTTTTCGTGTGTTGTTATCCCTAATTCGCTTCCATTAAGGGTATACGTATCTTAGGCATTCTTTACGCTGAAGTGCATAACTTTGCATTTTCAACATTAAATTTCATCTGCCATTTGAGTACCCAGTCCCCCAATCTATCCAAATCCCTTTGCAGCAAAGTAATATCTTGCTCACATTGTATTATTTTACAGAGTTTTGTGTCATCTGCAAACACTGAAACATGACTTCCAATGCTTTTTTCAAGATCATTTATAAACATGTTAAATAGAAGGGGTCCCAGAACAGAACCCTGAGGGACACCACTTGCCACCTCTGTCTAGCGTCGTGGCAGGAAGTTAATTACCATTACCATTACCATTTTTCCTCTTTAAGCATTGTATTTCACAATTTATATTTTGTACACTGTTTGTAAAATATTGCGATATGGTGATTGACTGGTTGGGAATGGGAAGTATGAAGGAGAGTTTGTAATCAAAGAGAGGAAAGCAAGTCTATGGGATAGATTTCAAAGTTGTGCAATTGACTTGGAGAGAGATAGACATAGCGGTGGTAGGTCTTGATGGAGGAAAGGTGAGACTATCTGTTTTGGAGAGGTTGAGTTTCAAAAAGTAAGGTGCCATGCAGTTAGGAATAGGAGAGCAGTAGCTGGAGACACAGTTCAAGGGGGACAGATAAAAATGAGGAGAAAATAAGCAGACTGGCAAGTCATCACCATAAAAGTCCTACTGGACGCCAAAGGAATTATTTATTTTACCAAGAGAGGTAGTTTACATTGAGTACAGTGGGGTATTGAGAACAGAACCTTGGATGGAACCTACCTTATATTCACTGGTTTGTAAGGGTTAATGTCCTACAAAATGAATATATTTCTTTGTATCTTGTGCAAGCTTCTACAATGCATATTCCCCAAAGCCTCCATTTCCTCTGTCAAAACAACTTATAAGATATTCATTTGGGTAGGCGAAAGACAACAAAAATCTCTCTGAATACTTAGAGAGGCTTTCAAGCCTCCGTTTTTATTTGAGCTCTAAGAGGTGTTTGTATATTTACCTGTTGCAGTATGTTTTTCTATAGAATACATATAATTCTATGCAAATTGTTTCCTTTTTCCAATGTAGGATTTGTTGCCTTATTCCGTTTTATACCATAAAAAAACCCAGTCCATTGACTCTCTTACTTATATACACTGGTATGCTATTTGTTGCTCAACTTTATATGGTATATTTTTCAATGTCCAGCTGTACTTTAAATGGCTTGAGTCTAAATAAAACAATTTTGCCTTAGACATTACATTTGAAGACTGGCACAAGATCTTTATTTTTACCCGATGCTCCCCTACTATTTTAGCAACTCAGGTAAACATCCACAATCTATTGATGAGAACGAGTACCTTACTCGTTCCGTACTCCATAAAATATTCCTCAATATGTCAGTTATGCTGCTATTTGCAGCACACTAGCCAATATGTAGTAGGTATGTGCAAATTATTTTATTTTTATTTTTTTTCAAAAAAATCCATTGACCATCACACATTGTCAGTGGGCATACAATACGTGAATACCTATTCACGTACTTATCCTCCAATACTGGAAAAGGTTTTAAGCACTCACACACGGTGACTGGACAGAGAGGGGAATGGACCAGGGTTATGGAGATACTAACCTTTGCCACCTCTACGTCTTATCAAACCCACTGCTCCATCTGGTTTTTGAGACTTACTTACTTGTCCTCACTTTATTCGTCATCTATGTGATTGTCCTGAGTCATCAAACTGCTTTATTGCTTTATGAACCACGTGTGTGTATGGAATTCATAAATTCCCACATTTAACAGCTGTTGTATATTTTGGTTATATTAAAACCAAAACTTTTCATCCATTCGCAATTTTATTATTTTTAAACATTTTCTCGAGCAAGGTTTATCTTGTGCCCTATAGCTCTTCCACCTACGTTGAACCTATTCATGTTCAGATGTTCTGCTGTATTCTGCATCCTGTATCTTACCTGTGATTGATATTGTAAATGTTTTGCACTGCATTGACGACAGTGTTCTAAATCCATAATTGTGGCCTCAAAAGCAATTCACATTTGCAGTCGCTGCAAATCAATGTTTAGTGAATAAAACCTGCATATTATAACATTGGGACAAAAATACATTATTGAAAACCAGTGAAAAGTAAATGCTCCCTTCCTCGATAAATAATTTGATATAATTAATATTATTTTACATAGTGATTTAGAACAGTGCATCTAAGCTTCATTAGAAAGATGTACCCATAGTGTTTAATACCCATAGTGTTTAAATAATTCCACTCATGTTCCCATAATATTAACACTGATGAACTACAAACCTCTATTCATGAAGTGCTTGTAATATCAAAGATTTTCCAACAATACACCCATAATGCCATATTGGTTTCCCACCCAATAACACTACCTAATGGGTAGGAAAAACACAAACAACACATCATTTATTTTACACATTTTTATACACAGTTGTAAGAAACTTTTTTAATAAAAAAAAAAAAAAAATAGTACAAGTGTCACTCACATCAGTCTTATCACAGGTTTTGAAACTCTGGCTTAGAATTCTTATTACTCTGTGCAAGGCACCGAGCATATGTCATGAACAGTGGTGCCTAGCCTTTGGCACCTTCTCTCTTATGAACTACATTTCTTATTATGTACTGTTATTTGGTTGTTTTGTCTCAGTATAATGGGGAATGTAGTCCAAATTTCACATACATCAGTTAGTCATCAGTGGCGTGGAGGAATGGTACCCAACCAAGTCTTCAAAGCTCACTAACAGTCCACATTTTCCAGTATCAACTAAAAAACAGCACTGGGAATGTCCTGGGCTGTTGGTTTGCCTTGAGGACTGGAGTGCGCACCATCTATGACATTGCACATTGTATAATTGGTTAACAACACTGAACACCCAGGACTTTGCCCAACTAAACACACACATACAGTGAGGAATACCCAGAAAACTGTCTCAAACATACAGACACACATTCTGGAACTGGACACTGTGTAACAAATACACAGTAGGAAACACGCAAAATACTGTTAATAAACATACATGGTGGGAATGCTTTGTACACAAAAAGAGAATTTACCTAAGCCTCTGTGTAACAAAGCCACAGATGATGGGAAAGTGACAGGATTTAACCCCTTAAGGACCAAACTTCTGGAATAAAAGGGAATCATGGCATGTCATGTGTCCTTAAGAGGTTAAACAAATAAATAATTTAGATCGCCTACAGTGGCGTAACTAGAAAATACACCCAATATATGATGGGACTCCCCCCTTTTGAGAGGCCCTGAGCCTGCCTTAGCTAGCCCATGTACTGCTGTGTGTGGCTATAGTTCAGTGGCTTTGTCTGCTTACTGCCTCTGACAGACAAAACTTCAGAGTTGTGGTGACTCTGCCAGATCGAGGTCTGACCACTTACAACCCTATGAAACACATATACACACTGAATGAGCACCTATGATACTACAAACATGATGGGTAACGCTGGGGGAACTGCAATATAAAAATGTTAGTGAAAACCTAGGATTGAGTGCCATACATATGTAGTGGGGAACATACAGATTGAAGAGGACCAATGGCAGGCTCATATGATACAGAAATGTAAACAGATTATAAGCAATAGATCCACAAGTTTCTGCAGCAGGTTTGGCAGTTCTGAAAGCTAAGCTGGGTTGGAAAGTGCTTTCTGGCTGTATGCGGAATCCTTGTGCACCTGTTATGAAATCCATGAATTGTTTATGGACTAGGATCCCAAAGGAACCATTGCAATTTATTAACTGATTTCACAGAGGACCATATATAGCTCACATGCTGTCAGGCAGCATTTTCAAACCAAGCCCTTTCCAATGAACTACAGTGTGCAGACCTGATCACAGTGACCTAGAAACACTGATCTGGTAAACCAACAACACACAGTGCATGAACACAATGTAACACACTGCGGGAACTCTACAACACACAGTGCATGAACACACACAATGTAACACACTGCGGGAACTCTGCAACACACACTGCTTGAACACACACAATGTAACACACTGCGGGAACTCTGCAACACACACTGCTTGAACACACACAATGTAACACACTGCGGGAACTCTGCAACACACAGTGCATGAACACACACAATGTAACACACTGCGGGAACTCTGCAACACACAGTGCATGAACACACACAATGTAACACACTGCAGGAACTCTGCAACACACAGTGCATGAACACACACAATGTAACACACTGCGGGAACTCTGCAACACACAGTGCATGAACACACACAATGTAACACACTGCGGGAACTCTGCAACACACAGTGCATGAACACACACAATGTAACACACTGCGGGAACTCTGCAACACACAGTGCAACACACTGCGGGAACTCTGCAACACACAGTGCATGAACACACACAATGTAACACACTGCGGGAACTCTGCAACACACAGTGCATGAACACACACAATGTAACACACTGCGGGAACTCTGCAACACACACTGCAGGAACACACACAATATATCACACACAGTATTAAGAGGGCCCACAACATAGTGCAGCGCACACAGCATGAACACACATCCCGCATGACGTGAGCCCCAACACACTGTGAAACATAGTGGGAATGTGCAGCACACAGAGCATGAAGTGAGCCCAAAACATAAAGTAAAACTCTCCACTCCAGACGCACAGCAACACAAACATTCAAACGCATTCTGGGTAGTGTGGAACAAGCTAAAAATAAAGATCATCCAGGGAACTGTGGCACAGACAAGACGGGGATCTTCTAAGAAGTTACAGTACACCAGACATGGATATTATCCAAATACAATAGTATACAAGAGAGGGAGATCACACGAGGAATGTGCCACACACAAGAGGAACATCATTCAGGACAGTAGGTAGCATGCAAGAGACCATCTAAAGCAGTGTTCCCCAACCCAGTCCTCATGGACCACCAATAGTCCAGGATTTATGTATTTCCCTGTTTTATTCCAATGGAGATACCGACAAAACCTGGACTGTTGGTGGTCCATGAGGACTGGGTTGGGGAGCACTATGATGAACACAATATGGGATTCACCCAAGGAACTATAGGACTGACACCCCCCAGGACATGATGATAGAAGCAAGATGAAGATAATCCAGGACACACTGGACACAAATAATGAAGATTTTCCTGAATGCTGAGACACACGCAAGATTGGGATCATCCAGAATGCTGTGGCAGCCACAAGATGAAGATATGATGGTGAAGGATATGAAGGTGCATCCAGGACACTATGGCACACATTATGGTGTACATACGATAGAAATCACTCAGGACATTATGGCATTGAAGACGGACATTAACCAGAACTCTGTATAAAACATACAAATGATAGAGAGCATTCAGGATATAATGTAGCACAGAATGTAGAATGTTCAGCATTTACTTGATCCACAAGCACCATAGAGCTGCCAGTTCCTTTTGTACAAAGTAGCACAACGTTTTGGTAAACATTTACATCACCTGTGACAATTTATCTGCACATACATGAACTGAAACATATAAACCATTAGAAGTTTCACATACAGAACAATGTCTAAACATAAACACACACAATCCTCAAACAAGACACACACCCCTGAAAAATTGTAACAATTTGGCCAATATTTACTAAAGTGTAAATTCAAACTGTCTGCAAAAATATTTATACAAGTAAAACAAGTCTAAATAAAATATCTATGTAGCAACCGCGGGCACTTTGTCCAGTGACCACGGTAAGACCCAACTGGACTCCCATAGAAAGCATCATTAAAATTCCCTTGTATATTGCAAGCTCATTATCACCGTTAAAGGGTTTCTTCAACCCTTTTCAAAACATTATATTTTTACATTTACAATGCCGTGTGGAGCATTACTATTAGTTCCCCAGCCCCCCAATAAATGTAAAACGATTTTAAAACTTACCTGACATCCAGCGTCGGGTGAAAGTCCCAGGGCTGATCTCCACTCCCCCTCCTGACATCACTGCACTTGCGTGGTCCGTTCACAGACGGCTGTTTTGTGTGCAATCTGAGCAGGGTAGTGGGTAGGAAGTAGATTTTATTTAAAAATAACAAAACCATATTCTTGTAGTGGAGGGAGTGCCCAAAGTGAGGGAGGGGAAACCTAACTTCCCCTTGCTGGTTTACTGTCTGCAAGGGGGTAGGGTTTTTTTACGTCTCTTGCCAGCACACTGTTTTCGCTGACGACAGCTGTTAAATACGCACAGAACTGACATTAGACAACTAGCCCCTGGCACAAAATTAAACATAACTCCGCATGTGCAGTGTTTCAAGCAGAAAAACTGCACACCCAGGCTCCTACCATCATGACCACTACAGATCACTGAAGTGGTCATGGTGGTTGGAGTAACCCTTTAAAATTCAAAACAGATAGCTATACTTTAAATTGAAAACATTGGATGAGGTGATTTTAATTCCATTTATTGAGCACATAATGCCCACAAAATAGCCTCATCATATTCAACAGCTAAAGTTGTTGATAAAAAGCTTTTTTTTTTGTTGCTTTTTGTCTGCTGGTAGCAGTAGCAGTAATATCGACAATGTCTATTGCAGGGATAGCAAGCTGTTAGCTTTATTTTCCGTTTGTGAAACTACAAATTTCAGAATGCCTTGGCGGACATTTACTGCCTTGTCAACTTGTCCAATCGTTCAGTGACTGCCAAAGCACCATGGCAGTTGTAGCTCTATACAGTTATGGACCTACTTGTTGTTGACCCCTGGTTTAGAAAATATTTGTACTACAGTTATGAGATGGAGATCCCACAATACGTCTTCCATTTTTACCAGTGGTCTGCAAATTTTCCTTATATGCTTAACAAGTACAACCCATATGAGGATACCCGTACTTTGTTTACTAGGGTCATTCACATGTGAAATCAAACAAAGATACAGTTCTGAATACTACAGATTAGTAAATTAGGGCCAGAGTGTACATGACACACTCACCTGTACACAAAATCACACCAAATTTTGACACTCAGAGGTACTTATAAATGAGCTGCACGTACCTTACACTTTACATGACAAACTTAAAACATATTAGTATCACACATTACAAAGCAAACACATCTTTTATGTACAGTACATAGCATCAGACACACATACGATATAGAATATACAGTAATCTGACGTGCAAAAAACTTACAAGACACAATCGTAGTGACGTCATGACAACCTACACTGTAATCTAATTTCTTAGACATTCTCTTCCATTTCACTCTTGTTCTTTTTCCCCGATCACTATGTACTAATCTCACTATTCCTGCATCTCTCCAGTGCCATGTTTTGCTATCCTTTCTCTTTATTAAAGGAACGCTCCAAACACCTATAACACTTTAGGTTGCTGAAGTGCTTTATATGTGGAGAGTGTATTTTTAAAAATTATTTTACAGAGAGTGCAGATTTCAATCAAAATTGGCACTTTTATAAGTTGAACTTGTCACACTCCTCTGGCTGTCAATCAGACAAAAGGTCCTGTTACTTCCTGGTCTGTTTGCTCAGTGAAGCTGAACTCAAGAAGCAGACAATTGCCCAGAGAACCTGATTTGTAGAGATTTTTCATTGTGCTGCATTGGGAAGTCTGTGATTGGACAGCCACAGAAAGTCTGGACGGGGATAGAATGGGAGGGTTTGCAAAGGCACCAGACAAGAGAACTGCATCTTTTGCAAGCTGTTTTCAGATATACTCCCAATGAACAATACAAATGTTTTCATTGAAGGTATATATACTAAACAGAGATTTTCTTTTGTATTTGGGCAGTGGAGTGTACCTTTAAATTCTCATTTATGTTTAATTCACTGCATTTTTTCATATCTCTCATTCTGGCTTTTCTCTCTTTTCCAACTTATTACAATCCTCCTAGTTCCATATGTGCCTTATGCATCCTTGCCCACTTCTATACATCAGCTAAATATTCCCATCCTCCTTTCCTCTCCATCGTTTATCTAGTGTTTCCCCAACCCATTTCACTTCTTTTTATTAGTTTTTTTTTATCTCTTAGTTTGTCTGTTTTTGCATTGACTTTTTCTCGACTAAGAAAATACATTCTTCAATGTCTGCTTTTTTGCCCCTTTTTTACATTTTAATGTCTTATAACAATACTTGCACAAATGTGTTGTGTTTACAATGTCTCTATTCTGTTATTTGTCCTTGGAATGCAGACCAGTTTATTTTTGCCCATTGGGGCAGTGGAAGCCCTGGATGTGGTAATTATCTTGTTAAATTGTGCTGTTTGATTTAATCGCCCCAGAAAAAGCACTGTAGTGGAAGCCTGGGGATCTTCAGTAGTCATACTTGTGTCTTGGATTGTAGAGGTAAATATTAATTGTACGTGGCAGAGGCATTATCTCCATCTTTATGGTTGAATTTCATTGGTGCAGTTGTCAGTTATTGCCTCAGAACAAAAAGTTGTCTGGTGTAATAGTTGCCTGTGAAGTTAAAATATAACTGTGCTCTCTGTCATTGAAGTGGTGATTAGGTTCATCAGATTGTGGTTTTAATGTTACCTGTGGTGAGGCAGCCAAATTACTAACCCAGAAGGAAACAGGGAAGACAGAATTTTTATGATTTGCAGTAGCTAGCTGCCCAGAAGTACATCAGAATCCTTGGATGTGGCAGTAGGCCTCAAGTGAGGCAACAAGGATATATATTAGCCAAAGTCCCAGGAATAAAAGAGCAGTAAGAACTTTGGGGACACGAGGGCCTCCTAACTCACCACCTATACTTGGGCGTCGACGGTACATGAGAATGGAGAGACAGACGAGGGAAAGCCCAGTGAACAGAGTTACAGAGAAGGCCAGGCTTCCAGGGTCAACAAGGAATTTTTGTCCCTTTCCAGCCCAGTATATAGCAGCAATACTCCATGCTACTCCTAGGCCCAAGAAAACATTCACTGCATTACTGCCCGTCACATTACCAATGGAAGCATCTGCATAAGGATCTTGCACTGCAGCCACCTTGCTGGCAAAAGTATCTGAAGATACAATAGAAAAGGAGAAAATGAATGTAAGTAACTGCTCTGTGATTATCATGGACAAAATATATCTGCCTTAGTATGGTGAAAAAGAAGTGTTATCTTATATGCAATTCGTTTTATTTCACGTATTTTCTCTATGCTCTCCACATTTTGCCTTTCGACCTGTGCAAATTTCATCCCATGCTGCTATCTTTTTATGTCTGTTTAGAGACATCTCTACTTCTATAATACACATATTGGTGAGCATTTATGTAGGTCCGTTTGGAAGCTGACATAGATACAATAATTAATTAGTGAAGGCATCACAGTTAGAAATTAGCCTCAAGCTACTTACCAGTGGATCCTACATGTTGGCTTCCAAGTACAACCCATTAATTATGGTGTATCTTTATTGGGGATGTAGAAAGTAGAGCTTCCCGAAACACATAACTAACAACTGTTAACTAGCAACCTATAGTAACTGGGAAGAGCTAAAGGAGAAAACTTTCCCCTGAAAAAAAGCCAATGTGGTTCCCAACAACTATTGATTTACCAAGAATTAACCTTCAAACCAAATTTACTGATTTGGTGGACAATAAAACCAAGTGAGCCCCATTGCATGGCCTTGCTCTCTTTTCTACTCCTTCTGCCTTGGGGTGAAAGTAATGCATAGAAGGTAAGTTGGGGGTCCACAAGTCAGGCTACCTTTTCCATCTATATTCTAAAGGAACAGAGTACCTTATAAATAGAGCATAGGTGCTATATATAAGGTCCCCAAGCTACTTGTCACAAAACACACTATATCTTTTATATACTATTTCCACAATAGCCATATTCTAAGTCCCTTCTAATCCTAAATCTAAAACATATTCAGAAGGGAGAGGTGTTCCTTAACTTAAAAAAAAAGCTGTAAATAAAAAAATAAATAAATACAATTTTATACTTACAAAAAGAAATGTAATCCACAAAACCCTCAAATCCTCATTGTCTTCTCATGTAAATAGGCTTAACCCTTAGAGGTTGCAAAGGGGTTTAAAAAAGAAAAAGTACAAAACTACAAGATGTAAAAAAATAACAATCCATACCTGGTACAGATGTCCCCAAAGCAACAAAGACTACAGCAGTGACAGAGTCCTTGAGCCCCACAGTACAGCCAAAGTGAGCAGCCAAGTCGCCAGTGACAGCTGTGAGGATCCCAATGATGACGATGGAGACCAAGAAGCAGGCCCAGCCCCCCCAGTATTCGGTTGGTGGAACAAAGGCGAAGAGGACCTTCCAGAAGACGGTCAGGAAATGCATGATGTAGTCACAGCAACTGGGTAGCCCTTCCTCACTGCTCTCCTCATCATCATCATCTCCTGCCCGGTGGTGGCAGATCATGCAGGAAGGTAGCAATAGGGGGAAACATATGGAGGACAGAATAGCAAATATAGCACCAAAGAAAAAAAAGTGTGAAAGAAAGAGGCAAAGGAAAGTATGGAGATGGTCAGTAGCATGGATAAAACAAAAATCAAATTCAAATTAAAAAAAAAGGATTGAGTTTTAAAGATAATGTGAAAGAAGACAAAGAATAGTGAAAAAAAGAGAATGACCAATAGAGAAAAAGCAGTAGGGTATACAAAGGATAGAATATTTGATGGGTATCATGCCAAGATAGGGATAAAAGTTTGCAAGAAAGGGACAAAGCAGTGTTAGTAATGTGAGGAACGTGTTAAACATTTGTGTTTTCATTGATCACAAAAAGGAAAGGACTGGCCAAGTATGAAATGTAAAAGCTTAAGTGAGCTTAAGATTGCTGGCTTTGAAAGTAAAGTGAGTGTGCAAATGTGTGGGGTGCTCACCTGCGCTGACAGTAACCGCACTCACAAATTGTTCTCTCCAGCTACTGCTTCCAACTACAAGAGCTAAGTTGGCTTTCTTAATCAGCTTGTCCACTGTGCTCTGTGTAAAAATCAAAGGGGTAAAGGATAACTAGAAGGCATGAATCCATCTGGTAACATTGTCCAGTCTCAATCTAATTCTGTTCTTGTTTATTCACACAAATGTTCTTTATAATCTGCTATGTTTTCCCTTCCCAAATATTTGCTGCTACACAAAAAGGTTATAGGTTCAGGATCTTTATAATGTGTTGTATATTGTTAATTGTCTTGTGTGCTCTCCTGTCCTGCTGATGCTTGTTACTAACTAAGTGGATTTGGCTATGGAGCCTGTATAGCGCCCTCTCTTGGTAGCAACAGCTATATGCACTACCTGAATAGCAAGGCTTGTTAATTTGCATATTTGTAATTCAGCAGAGATAGTTTGTGTTTAAAATTGTCTTCCCCACCCCTTTATAAATATGTTATTATTTTATTATAATCCCCTGTATGTTTTGGTTATTTGTATTTTAATAAGTTTGTCACAGCAAACTTGATATAATAAGTATATGGGCTAGTCCCAAGTAGAAAATAAAGCTTTGCATGTTAGTTCCATTTGGAACCGGGTGTCCTGTTTGGATTTTTAGGGATCACAGTGACAGAGTCTTTGGACCTGTTGGCTAGCTGCACAATCCCTCTAGCCCTGAGATAAATCAAGAGAGCTAGGCCTGAGAGCTGCAAGTGATTTTTGTAAAGGCAATAGCAATTGCTGCAGAATAATAGGCAGAGGGGATGATACCTGCCTGGAAGACAAGCTGCAGCGGAATAGGAAGAGGGGACACTACTTGCCTGGAAGTAGAGCTGCAGCCTGGTCGGGTTGAAAAGCTCCAGAAGGACCTCAGTCAAGCTGCAGTGACTGGGGCAGTAGCGCTTCAGATTTCCCGGGTACAGGGAGCTCTGTCACAGATGGCACACACCAAATAAAAGGAGGACAGGTGCCACATTGTGGAGGGTAACTAACTCCAAACTTCTTATAGTTGAAGAAATCAGCAGGCAGACTGGACAATCTTTTAAAAACAATATATATTCACAAACAGCACAGATGATATTTTGGCTTCAGATGAGCCTTTCTGAGAAATATCGCCAAACTATTGCCTGTTTGATTTGTGAATAAACATCTTTCATTTCCTCAAATTTCTAAATTTTCCTTTGCCCGATCAAAGAGCACTTTAAAACAGTCTGCAGTATCCCTATTTTACCGGAAATGAATGGGATGCCACTTTGCCAGTCACATCGATTTTGGGTGCAAACAAGAAAAAGTAAGCCTCTCCAAAGATGGGGATGAAATATTATTTAATGCAGTGCCTCTTCTGAGTACTGAGTGACTGTGAGCCTAGTTACGAGAACCTCACTACACTGAAAACACATGAAAAAGGTACCTATCTGATTTTAACTATCCTTTTAAAATTGAAATCTATGTGTGCGCTGTTCCTTAGTCTGTATTATGTATAAAGTTTGGTCTATACAGTAACACCACTGCTGAGAAATGCAGAGGCCACTAAAGACCATTTGAGTTAAGTAAAACTCACCTACCCTGCATGTCGCAGCCACTGGAGCCAAAGCGGGGGTGTCTATTTCAGGCCCCACATCTACTTTAAAATAATATATAGAAAATTCCTAGAGACACTTTAAATAACATAAATGGTCTCCTCCATTGACACTCCTCACTGAGTCTTGTGCCCCCTTTTCTTTCCTTGCAACTTTTGCAGTCAGTACATATTTTTGTTCCTCTGCACCACATCTACGCTACCACACCGCTCCCTCCTCTACAACCCTCTTACCTTGAATTCATATGATTCCTCTATTATGACTTCCATCTTGCGATGCTCCCCAAGACTCGGGCTCCCAGCAATTTTTTCTCCTCCCTTGTTAGGCACCAACCATTTTTCACCAACATCACCTAAAAAAATAAATAAAAGTGGGCCTAAATTAAACGTGCAAGCCGACAATATTTTTTTCCTGCACAACCAATCCTCTCTCAGTCCAAGGCATGTGGATTGCATTAGGGTATGCAACAGAGAACATACCATCTAAAACTTAACTTTAAAATAAAAATCAAAGTTTCAACTTTTGTGCTAGTGATCAGGTATGTATAGCGATAATGTCCGTGAAGACTTAAACATGGGAAATTTGACTTGACATTAGGAGTACACATTACCCTTGGCTATGTGCTTAGTCCTTCCTGTCTAAAATATCATGCTTTCATGACTGTGTGTAAAGCTCCCATAGTAATTGCCCGGTTTATACGTCTCAGTCTGGTGCAATACCTCTCACAGCCACTAGCTTGCTGTGGTGCTGTTGTAGGCATGGATTGCGGACTGTAGACATCTGATTGTGCAGTCAGCTGGTCCTTATTGGCAAGTCAGATACTCTTATATAGACCAGCCTTTCCACCTGTCTGGTGGCAAAGAATTGTGTGTACAGTTTATTGTTTAACTGTTTGTCCCTAACCGCCCTTCCTGCCCAGAGACTCCTGAAGTCCTGTGAATTCTGAGACCTGTTCTCCCCACATTCTGAGGGCCTGCTCTTTATATCCTAAAATCATCTCTTCTCTCATCCTGAGGGTCTATTCTCCCCGCATCATGAGGCCTGCTCCCATCCAGAGATGCCCTTGTTTATCTTCCTAGTGTTTGTTTTAATCATACTGTGTTTTTTTACTTTGTGTTTTAACCACTGATCTATATTGCTGTAAGCCATTCTCTTGTGTTATCAGTTTGCTTCTTGGGTTCCTACTTAGCTCTTTGATTGCTGAGCCATTATGTTTTTGGCACCCCTCCAGCTCAAACCATGACATCCCTGTTGTATTACACAGCATTGGAAATGCTGCTTTATGATTAAATTTTTTTATTTAAATCCTTATAGTCTGCTTAAGATTTTTCTCTCTCAAAATCAAAAGAAAAAAATCCATAAACCAAAACAACCTGTTTCTTTCTGTCACAGTGGAAGGAAGCTACACTGATCAGCCACGACATTAAAAACCGCAAACAGATGAAGTGAATAGCATTGATTATATGGTTACATTGGCACCTGTGAAGGGATGGAATATATTAGGCAGCAAGTGAACTCAGTCCATGTCTTGGGAGCAGGAAAAATGGGCAAGCTAAAAGACCTGAGTGACTTTGACAAGGGCCAAATAGTGCTGGTTAAACTACCGGGTCAGAGCATCTCCAAAACAGCAAGTCTTGTGAGGTGTTCTTGCTATGCAGTGGTTAGTTCCTACCAAGAGTGGTGCAAAGAAGGGCAACCGGTGAACTGGCGTCAGGGTCATAGGTGCCCAAGGCTCATTAATGCACAGGAGGAGCAAAGGCTAGTCTGTCTGGTCTGAAAACACAGAAGAGGTACTGTAGCTCAAAGTGCTGAAAAATGTAATGCTGGCCATGATAGAAAGGTGTCAGATCACACAATGCATCACAGTTTGCTGCATCCAGACCTGTCAGACTGCACATGATGATACCTCTCCACCACCAAAGATGCATTAAATGGGGAACTAGACCATGGAAGAAGGTTGCCTGGTATGATGAATCACATTTCCTTTTAGATGAGGTGGATGGCCGGGTGTATTGTTTACCTCGTGAATAAATGGCAGCAGGATGCCCGAAAGGAAGAAGGCAGGCTGGCGGAGGTAATGTTATGCTTTGGACAATATTTTGCAGGGTCATAGCATTCATGTGGATGTTACTTTGACATGTACCACCTCCCTAGAGATTGTTGGAGACCACATAGACTCCTTTATGGCAGTTATGTTCCCTGACGGCAGGGGTCACTTTCAGCAGGATAATGCACCCTATCACACTGCAAAAATTATTCAGGAATGGTTTGAGGAACATGACAAAAAGCTTTGGCCTCCAATTTCCCATATCTCAATCCAATTGAGAATCTGTGGGATGTGCTGGAACAGCAAATCAGATCCATGGAGGCCTCACCTCACAACGTGCAGGGTCTGCTGCTAATGTCTTGGTGGCAGATACCACAGGACACGTTCAGAGGTCTTGTGGAGTACATGCCTCAACGCATCAGAGCTGTTGTGGCAGCAGGAGGTGGACCTATCCAATATTAGGCAGGTGGTTTTAATGTTGTGGCTGATCACTGTGTATCTCTTTTTGAAACAGACACCCATAACTGTTCTGATTTGAAATGCTTTGACTCTGCAAATTTTATTCCTACCTGAATTGTTGGTCTCTCACCTCCTCTTTGCATTTCCGGCTCTCCCAGCTCTATGAAGAAATTCTTGTTTTTTTCATATTCTTCATCATCAATAACTTGTATCTCAATAAACCTCCTAAAAAAAAAAAGAGGATATAATTATACAATAGAGCATCGAACGTACTATTTTTATTTTTCTCAATTTATTATTTTTATTTATTGTTTTTGGATAAATGTTTACAATTATTTTTTCAAAATTTCAACAAATATATATATATTTATAAACAATCGATTTATAGTTGTTTTTTGTTGTTTATAGATCCACATGTTAAAACAGTAAAAAAAAAAGGCAAAGGGACATTTTGACGTCTGATATTTTGTGATGAATGGGAGTTGGATGGTAACTAAAACCTAAATGTAACATAGAACCCTAACCTCTAAATAACTCCAATAACCAAACTAACCTGATGACATCACAGCTGGGAGGAAATGACTGCTCTGGTCAATCCTCCCAGCTTACACCGGGAGTCGCTCGGGAAGAAGGAGAGGAGGGAGTCAGAGTGGGAACTCTGACTCCCATTAGCCTGAGCCACCACTGGGCCCCAGGGAAGTCACCCTCCTGCATTTAAAAGGTAGGAAACAGGAGGGTGACTCAAATATCTTGTATACGTGTTTGTATGTATGTGTGTGTGTTTGTGTATGTGTGTCTGTATGTATGTATGTGTTTGTGTGTCTGTATGAATGTTTCTCTGTATTTGTGTGTGTGCGTGTCTGTCTGTGTGTCTGTATGTGTGTGTATGTCTGTCTATGTGTCTGTACATGTGTGTCTCTGTGTGTGCATTTGTATGTATGTGTGTCTATGTGCGTGTCTGCATGTGAAACTGTTTGTCTGCATGTGTGTGGGCGGGGAACGTACACACATGCAGACAAACAGTTTCACATACAGACACGCATGGCAGGGGGTAGACGTATAGGGGATGACGGGGAGTAGATTTTCGCAACGGGGCCCCGTGGTTTCTAGTTACGCCTCTGGTTGTGAAAGACATGTTCACTAACGTGTGAATTCTTGGAAATGGAAAGTGAATTCTCCAAATAAATGTTTTCCAAGTTGTCTTTTTTGGCCTAAACTTTGAAGGTTTTCCATTATAGTGGGCAGAAGGTAGGGTGAATATCACATGCCGCCTAATAATATACACAAATTGGATGTAACCATTTATGTGCCCTTCCTGGTGACTAACAGACTTTTGGTAGCCTTACACTGGACGTGCTCACGCTCTGCATGAGGACATCTGGTGTCGATAAAATCCCAGTAGGAAAGCATTGAAACAATTACATGATTTCCTATAGGGAGGGCTTAATGTGCTTGTGGTGCTCGCCACACATGCACTTTAGCTAGCCTGCCCCGTCATCGGAGGAGAAGGCGCTCCGCCCCAGCGAAGAGAGAGATCAGCGCTGCAATCTGGTAAGTACACAAAGTTTTTTTTAATGAGCCCGGAGGAAAAGGGGTGTGTGAGGAAGGGGTGGGACTAAACAACTTTGAATTCCTTTAAGAACTACTGTACTGTCTGTAGATATCATGTAGACAAACATAATGGAAATTTGTTACAGAATATGTTTTCACCGTTGCTGAACTCATCATGATAGATAATCTGGGGTCAAAGACAATGTTTCTTATAGGAAAGTAATGGCTGCCTACAGCGCATTGGTTTTTGTTTTTAATGAGTTGATTGACAGGTAGGAAGGTGTAACTTAATAATTATAAAAATGCTGATTCCTTTTGAAATCGGTACTTTTATAAAATAAGACAATGGGGACTGTTAATCCCTAAAATGAATCAATTAAAATATTCTTCATAATATCTAAAAATTTTATTCAAAAATCTAAAATTATTTGAAAAGCTTCCAAAAAAAAATCAAAATCCCAAAAATATTAAACTGAGATCATTGTTAGAAGTGTTGTCAAAAAGTATTAAAATATTGTGATTGTGTTGATGTGGTGAACGGTTCATCAACAGCCATCAAATTATTGATTCACTACTATCCAAATCCCTGTATATTGGAGATTGGTTCTATAATTTATTTTGATTTTGAATGTTTTAAGCAAGTGTACATTGTGTCTTACAATTGTTCTTTGTAAATAACCCCCGATGTCCATGCACTTGGTCAGATACACAGGGATTAAGGCAATAAATGTTGCCTTCAGTTTGTGCACCTTCAGGAGACAAAAAATTGTAGATGGTGAAAACAAAGATTATTTTTTGCATCTACATAATTCTTACCTTTCATCCCGTTAACTGTTCTAACCTTGTTTTTCTAACTGGCAAACATAAGTATTATTCTACATGCTTTTTAATGATTGTAGCAATGATAGATGTACATCATAAGGAAAAACACTAAATGATCTGTTTTTGGAGACGGTTCAAGGATATGGTAGAATGGGCAGTATTATTGCAGCAATCCTCAGGTTTTTATTACTTGTCCCCATAAGAGACTATTGCATTTTCTGATGATTAGTGATTTTTGCGGTAATATAAAGATATTGTCACAGTTGGTAATCTCACATGATGAAAAAGCAGGACTGACTCGAATTGTTTCTATAAATCAAAACCCCAAAAGGCTTGTGCTGTACTTGGCTAGAATAAAAAGAAGCTGTGACTGACAAGTGTAACCTATGACACAGATGTCAGACTCGTTCCTCATCTTATCACATGTCAATCTGAGTGAAAGAGTGATGTTCTGTAGAGGTTGGCAGTCTCTTGGGTGACTAGCACCTGTATAACACCTGTTTCAAAGTGCAGGAAACTGTTAGTTTTTGGAAAGATAAGAGACCAGGTAATCAAACAGAAATGGGCTAAGTGATTTTTACTTGTCCCTGCAAGGAAGATCACTAAGTGTATTCTCCTGGATCCTACACAAATGGTCAGGCCAGTAGGAATAAAGCAAACACATTTATTTGAACACCTTATGTTGTGATTTATGCAACCGGGGAAAGTGAATCGACCTCAGTTACATAGTAACCCCAGTTGAAAAAAAAGACTTAAGTCCATCAAGTTCAACATTTAAACACGTCATGACCCAATTTGAAGTGATTGCCAATTTTGCCATAACAGCAGTCAGATTTATCATTGGATCAACAAGCTGTTCACATAAATTTTAATCATACCCTTGAATATTCTGTTTTTTTAAAAAAACAAAAAAGAAACATCCAGGTCTTTATTTACTTTTACTTTGTCTACAGAATAAGAGGAATGGACCATCGGTGGAAAGAGGATTCCACACCTTTATTGTTAAACTACCATTATTCCCTGGGCAATTATTGCAATTCTGGGACTTGTAGGCCATCATCATCTACGTGGGTCTCTGATTAACTACATTTTACATTTCTATCTGTCAAAAGAACGTTTTTAAAGGTAAGGGTTTTTTTTGTGACTCACTTTAAACTTATTACAGCTGTAAACATTGGTTGCAGATAACTAAATAACATAACTGATGTGTCTAATGTCTTGAGGATAATGTGTATATTTCACTCCTGGCATTCAAACCCCAGAGCATTTTTTTTTTTTGCTTTTTCAGGTATTTTGCACGTATTAATAATAGATAAATCTCACTTACATTGATCTTTATTTCTAAGAGTTCTGTGTATGGTAAAACACAGACTCAGCACTTAGAAAAATGTCAGAAAGTGAAGATTAACAGCAGCCCATAAATTTGCAAAATAATGAATAAGATCAGACCAACACCCTTGAATAGTTTGATTTGGCTGTATTAAAGGGTAAGTCAAATTTTCTGCCCACAATGGCATTTTTATCAAGCTTTTTCTTGAATTATTTATATGCTCTGACCTCATTTATTATATATCAATATATCATAAGTAATACATAATACATTTAGACATCAGAGGTCAAAATGAGTTCATGTTGATTGACTAAAGTTTAAATCTTCTCCTTGTTCAGTGGAGCATGTAGGATAGGGCAGAAACATACTTACCCTCTTGTAGTTTCAGTAGGGCCAATCCATTTCGCATTTTTTTTCTTGTTTGTCCATCTTGGTCTGTCATTAGTGCCTGCATGTATAATTTATGTATTATACAGTGCAGTTGTATATGTTGGAATTATGTAAAGAATACTAACGATTAAATTAAGTCGAGTTATCAAATGTTTCTTTCGTTCCAAAATAACCCCTATAACAGAGGCATAATATAGAGTCCAATAATATACATAACAGGTACTTTATAAAATTCTTTGTGTGTTTCAATGGGAGCAGTGTTGGGAGCTATGCTCCAGTCTCAAGTCACGTTTTTTCAAAGATAAAACATCCTGAAGCATACCTCCCAATATTGGAAAGTATAAGCTCGGGGTGGGCAGTCCAGAGGCTGCCATGCCATAGACGCGACTTGCATCAGTGGCACAGCCCATAATAGGCAGGTCTGCCTGGAAAACTGTAAGGTCTGTCCACTGAATGACCTGTTTGAGCGGCCCCAACCTACAGGACCTTGCAGGGAGTGTTGTTGACAAGCTCTCAACAGGGTTCTAGTGCCTGTGCACAGCATGAGCTTGTCTAATAATGCACTGTGCTGCTTTAGGACAGTTCCCTGGTGATTCTCAGATGAGGACACCAGGAAACGAATTTGGGATGGCGAAATTAGGGCTGTTGGGCGCCTTGTTGAAGAAGCATGTATAATATTTAATGTTTCTTTATTCCATTCTTGATACTGGATCTGGCAATGTTTCAGTCTCATGTTATCTTTGTTGTTAAAACATTGCGAGCTCCACTTGTTATGCTAGATTGAACACTCATCACACATTACGGCCACCCCGTCTAACCATAGATCCTATTACAATGCTGATGGCAAAATATGGCAGCTGGATTTATAAGCAAGACACAGCTAGAATGGTGCCACTTTTAGGGTATATTCTATGGGGGAAGCTAACGCCGTAGCTGTGCAGATACCTGTCATACCCTCGTTAAGGAATCATTTTAAAAGAACACTATAACATTGGGAATACAAACATTATTTGATGCTTTAGTAAATGGCTTAATTCATATACGGTATGTTATTCTGTGTGTCACTTTGGTGATGTTTTTTTACATTATGTACTGAAATAAAGAATAGTTTATTTTCTACATCTATGACGACTGCTGCTGTGGTTATATATAGCAGAATAATTATTGTCTTTTCTAAGAAAAATAAATGTTTACACTGCTTAACCAGCAGGGACCGACGTTTTCATTTGTTAAACTGTAGTGGTTTTGGTGCCTATAGTGTCCCTTTAAGATAGAAAATATCACTGCCTGCATAAAGGCACAGTCACTTTAAATACGGTATGTAAACACATATTTATACACAGGAACAAGGTAAAACGAACGAGGTAGATTACAGCCACAGATTCAGAAACATATAGTGACTCTTTTATCTGCTCCTTCAATAACAGTCACACATTTGATGCTATGGGATAATAGTATAATGGGTAATTCATGAATATATTATTTCACAGTAAGTATAAAATATAATATCTAGAATAGCCTCCAGCAAATAGTGTGAAAGCAAGCACCACTAAATGGTAATAATGAATTTAAATTTAATTAAGACCAAGTAAATGACACATAGAACACACCGATCGAACAATCTACTTGTTGGAACCTGTTGTCATGATCCGTGTTGGTGCTAAAATAAAAATGCAGCATATCCAATTTGCCACGCCATTTTTATATTAATATGTAATGTTTGTCATTATACAGGGCCTTACTGCTGCCAATAATCCATTTCTAGAATATCCTCTTTGTAAAAGCTGTTTCTCAGGCCTTTTGTGCACACATATTTTAAACCATGATTGCTTGTCAGTACAGAGTATGATCAAGCGTGTCCTATTTTGAGATTAGCCGCACTTGCATGTTTGTTTGCATACGTTCCTTTAATCTTGAGACAGAATGTGCTTGTGCATGGCCAGTAGCACCGATA